GGTAACGCTATTAGTCGCTTGCTGGCGCAATGCCAAGCAGCGCCGGCAAGTGTTGCCGCGAAATGGCAACGAAGGAATGAGAGCGTCTCAGTGGCGGCGGAGCCGAGTTTTTGTAGTTGCCTGTATGTGTATTATATATGTGTGTGTGTTCATGTATGTGTTTGTGCATTTGTTTGTGTGAATGTATGATGCCTCTCAGGGTTTTTCGTTTTGCAGACCTATGGAAGCTGTTGAACAGTCTTGCTGGGAATGGGCTCCTGCAAGTTTCTTGATCTCTTAGTTTGTGCGGACGGCAGAAAATGGAAGATTTTCTGGCAGGGGAACGATTTTGGGAACCTGACAAGCTTTGAGACCTTACAAAAATGTTACTTGTCCACGTGTGACCCAAAGAATTTAAATCCCGCTTTCAAATACATGCATCTTGCCAGTTCGAGAATGGAGGGCTGTGACTTTGCTAGGACGATTGCTGTTCAAAATATGAACATTCCTTCACATCTAATTTATGTACATGTGGTACTTGACGCTTACAGTTTCGTAACTAAACAGCCAAAGCAACTCGAGTGCTGAAATTTTCTGAGCATCACTTGCGATCATTTTCGGGCGAGTGTGCGGGGAAACAGTTTTCACGTTCTCTGAACATTTTACGTATGTGCATTTTGACGTAACTCAGCAACTAGAGCAACGAGAATGCCGAAGTTTTTTGAGTTTGGACCACGACTGTGCTTGGGCGAGTAGACGCGTGAAAAAACAACGATGACTTTTCCTCACGCGCGAGCACGTGAAAGAAATTTCACGTAATCCTGCAACCGAAGCAGCTAGAGCGCTGAAATGGTCTGAGGATGGCCCACGACAGGTGCATGTGAAAACAGTTGCCACAGCCTCTCTGCATTTCACGTATGATTTGACGTTGGCAGTATTTTAACTGCATAATCGGAGCAGCCGGATTACCGAGTTTTCTGGCATGGTCCGCACGGTCGTGTTTGGGTAGGGTACATGTGAAAACAACTTTTACATTCCTTCCTATGTCTTACGTGGTAAGTATATATTTTTGGGTAAATATATATATGTGGAGGCGAAAGCCCCTTTCCGCCTTTCTTCCCACCCCTCTATCATTTCATGTACCGTGTAGTTTCGTGCTGACAACTCTTGCATCACATCTTAATGCCGTAAAAAAATGATAAAAAAATTTGGCACCTATTCGTTCTGCTGGAAGCATCTGTCAGCAAAAGAACTGTGCTACTTATTGGCAAACACCAGTGGGAGAAACTGTGCAAAAAATGTGTCTAAGTGTGCAAGGAACGCAGTAGAAGGGAAGCTGTCGGTGATTCACTTTTTTGAGGATTGCTTGAAAGTGAATTAATGAAGTTTTAGCAACCCAGCATAAATGGTACTAATTTAGCGTTGAAATGAATGAAAGAATAGTAGAAAAATTGGTTGCCCCTCATATCTGTATATATATATATATATATATATTTTTTTTTTTATAGGTCTTTTTGTATATGTTTAATTTATTCGTGTTCTTCACTGTCTCTTCCCAACTGAATTTTAGCTTATGCAGATGTTGTGTGTTGTATAAAAATGTCAAAGTTCAGCAATAGCGACATTTTAGTTTTCGTCATAATATTGCTGAGTGCTCTTAATTTGCTGCGTGTTGTATTGGTTTCTGCCGAAAATGTGAATGAAATTGCTACTCCTGTTCCTCGTTGTTATTTAAATCTGTAAGGCGCATTGAACAGTCAGTTACAAAATATTTCACATTAGTGCTTGTTTGTCATCTGTCCGGTGATTTTAGCAGGGACTTGGTTCGTGTCCTTCCTGAACTGGGATGGCGCGGCTTGCATGGATTTGTCCAGAGGCGGTCCGAATAGGGGACGTTTTTTGCTCACAAACCCTTGAAGTGTCCTGATAAAAACACAGTGTTGTGGAACGCGTCAAGCAGCTGGCGTTAGTAAGATCGATGGGCTGCGAAGTGAGAAGTCGATGGATAAGGTGATTGTCCGGTTTAATAGTTCGCTGGTGGAGCGAGTCAGATTGCATTCTATGTACGGATTTGTCGGGGATGCACAGTGGTTGAATTGGATGGTCCTCTGAATTTCATCTAAATTGCCGTTTCGCTTTTTGTTTTTTGCGATAGATGAAGTGATTACTTTCAAGGAGCTTCCGGTACAATAGTTCATCGGAAGGGAAAAGTTTTTGATGGAGGATACAGGTGTTGGAGATTTCGACTGGTCTTACACAGAAGAGCCACATGCACGAAGGTCAGACCATTCAGCAATTTCGTCCATGAACAGCAGTTTTTGTTCTGGATATTTAGCACAGTTGGTTGAATGCATTTTTATGCGTTTTGCGCCGTGTAACAGCAACTCAAAATGCATATTATCAAGCAGTTGTCTGTGTGGGTGTTTATATATGTGTGTGTATATCTGTGAGTGTGTGCCCGAGTACATTTTCTTCCGCACTTTCAACTCGGGGACCACAAAAGCTAGACGGCTAAAATTTTTTTTCAGTAGAGTGTTCACTGCGCACGTGCGACCCCGCAAATTTAAATTCAACCCTCCCGTGCTCGCGCGTAACATGCGTCCCGTGAAAGTATTGGCAGAAAAAACTATTGTCTAGGGAACTACGGAAGCTAGGAAACTGAAACTTTATGGGTATGCCCCCTGCCTACGTGCAACCCAGAAAATTTAAATTCAGCCCCCCCATCACGTACAACCCGGTGAAAATTTTGGTGGGAAAATTATTTCCCTGGGAACCATGAAAGGTGGGAAGCTGAAATTTAGCGGCAATGTTTCTTGCCAACGTGTGACTCCGTAAATTAGAAACGAGTTTTTAGTCAAGCGTGGGTCGCAATTACGTCCCGTGAAAGTTTCGGCAGGGAAGATTATTGTCTGGGAAGATATAAAAGATAGGAAGCTGAAATTTTGAGAGAATGCGACCTCGCAGAATCAGGTGCAACTTTTATGTGTGTTTGGGACTCTTGTGCGGCCTCGCGAAAGTATTGGTGGAGGAAATTATTATTTTGAGAGCCAGAGGAACTATGCGACTGGAATTTCAGGATGATGTTTTCTGCTTGTGCAGATACCTTACGTATTCAAATTTAGCTCCCAAGTATGCCGAGGTCTTACTTACGACCACGTGAGAGTTTTAAGGCGGAAGTCATTAGCTCGGAATCCGGGGAACTGGGAGGTTGAAATTTGTGAGGGTTTCCTCCATCCACGTTTTCAAATTCTGTTTCCGTGTACCGGTGCGTGAAATTTTTAGTGGGAACTTCCTCAGCTTAGAAGCCAGACAGCATATCTACTATTTTTCCGCACGCAGAAGTGTAAAACAGTCATATTTCTAGCAGGCAAGCGTTTGCTGGAGAAAGATGCGTAAAACGCTTGGTCGTACCGACTGCCCTGACGCGCACCGCTATTTTGGTTTTGTATCTTTCGCAGATGGTTTTGCATGGAGGGCGATCCACACTAGGCTTCAAAAGAGTAATGCGGTGTGTAGTCAAGAGAGGGCAGGTAGATGAAAAGACGGTGCCTCAATTTCTCTTTGCCCTCGAAAGATTTAGTAATTCAGCTAAAGCTAGACTAACCACTGAGCTGTGGGGAGGTGGCGGTAACGAACAATAAAATTTTGCAATTTGCAGCGAGTTCATTAAAAGCCTGCCGCTCCTCCTTATTCATCTGGTTCTAATTTGCCATTAAAGAATTGGCGCATTAGATGTCAGAACAGCAAGCAGTTATAATTTTATAAAAAAAAAAGGGAGTAGTTGAAAGAAAGCGAATGCGCAGCCAGATGAATGAAACAGAAATAATCCCCAAACCCATCTTTATACGGAGCTGAGAAGACGGGACTCCTTTTTAAAAAAATTATATTTTAATCCTCTATTTTAAAAATTATATTTTAATTGTGCTCCTAACGTAATTCTGTACAGGGTACTTTTACTGTTTGATTCCTTGTCGCCTTTCATCATGGAGCTGTTGTGGCCGTCAGTTAAGGGTCGGCTCGATGCGTTTTATGCATCTTGGAAAAGTCAGGGATTGTGAATTTGTTAATACAGTGCAGTCGTTCAGACGCGATGAAATCATCCGAAAATATCCGCAAATAAAAAATTGCTTCGGTATCGATCCCTCATTTAAATACGTCGTCGTCTCAATGGTCATCGCACAGTTCGTCAATGCCTGGATGCTCCGAGGCCAGCAGTTTTAATTTCAATTAGTGCACGATGATTTGATTATTTTTTTAATGGTTTTAAACAAAGAACACATGATGGGAATTTTTTTTCTATTGCAGCCTCATAACTGGTCTTGATGTGCACCGTGACCAAATCGGTTGCCTTTTGGGGTTGTAAATAAGTTGTTAATCAGTTGCTCGACATGTGCGTTTAGTGGGATTTCTACTTGTTCTGATGTTGTACAGCATCGGCCGGTGGTCAGTCCATTTAACAGTCCTGACATTTATTTCGTCTCCTGAAGGAATTGCTAGCTCGGCGGTTCTCATGATAGAAACGCTTAGCAAGACTTTAGCCGTTCTGGGACGTCCTTCAAGTGTTTTGAATATCACCGCCTGTTCTTGTTTGCAACCGTAGTTTGCGATCAGGTACCGTGTCTAGAGGTTTGTAAAAAATCAGGCAGCGCTTGACAGGTGGAAGAAAGGGTGTGAGAAATCTTTCTGAGGGTGCTGGGGGAAATGTGGGAGTTTTCACCCGTTCCTGCCTTTAATTAACGCGATGTGTTTAGATGCGGACTGGCTTCTCATATGTTTGCAAGCGTATTTTGTTGGTGGTACAATAGGTCATTCGCTTACGCTTGCTGTTCATGAAATCTCTCACAATATGGCATTTGGTTGCGCTCGACCACTTGCGGTCTGTTTCATTCCTTGTATTGATCAGTTCTGGTGATGTGTGTTAGGTTGTTTGACTTACTATTTTAATAGTTACTGATTTCGTTCAGGTTCTTTTTATGCGCTTTTTGTTGTGTAACAGCACTACAAAACGAATATTGTCACGGGGTTGTCTGTGTGTGTGCGCAGTAACTTGTCCACAACTTTCAACTCGGGAACCACAAAAGCTAGGAAGCTGAAAATCTAGGGGATTGTTCCCCACCGACATGCGACCTCGCAGATTTAAATTCAGCCTCCCCGTACCCGCGGGTAACACGTACGGCCCCGTAAAGTTTGGACGGATAAAATTATTATTACGGGAATCATGGAAGCTAAAAGACTAAAATTTTGCGAGCAAAACTCCTGCTCGCGTGTTATCCAGAAAACTTAATTCAGCCCGCTGATAACACGCCCCCGTAAAAGTCTTGACGGGTAAAATTATTATCTCGGGAAGCACAGGAGCTGGAAAGCTGAAATTTTATGGATATGTCCCCTCCCCAGATGCAATCCAGGAGATTTAAATTCAGCCTTCTCCTGCCCGCAAGTAACACGAATAGCCCCGTAAAAATCTTGGCGGGTAAATTATCATCTCGGGAACTACAAAATGTACGAAGCTCAAATTTTAGGGTAATGACCCCCTTGTCCGCGTACGACCTTGCCCATTCAAATTCAGCGTTCTCGCGCTCTCGGGTACCACCTACGGCCCTGTGAAAATTTTGGTGGGTAAATTACTATCTCAAGAACCATAAAAACCAAGAAGCTCAGTTTTGTGGTAGTGCCGTGCGTAAAATTTTTAACTATTTTTTAACGTTTCAACTATTTTTGCAGACTAAATTACAAAGCAATGAAAATCATTAATAGGGAATTGTTCGATGGGCTGAATTGCACAAAACGCATGATCGCACCCGCTAGTCTGGTACGCGTTGCTATTTATTTTCCTCCTTTTTTAGAACCGCTTATTTGGATTTGTTGCGAATATGCCGATGTTGGTGCCGATGTCAGTGTCGTTTAAAAAGTATCACCAGGAGCATCATCGTTACATGGGTGAATTCAGTTTTCTTTTTGTTCCAGCACAATGCACAAAGCTTGTACGATTCAATGAGAAACACTTTAAATATGACACTTTAAACAGCCTTTGTTGCGTTTTTCTCGTCATTAGTACACTTGTGAGCTCCTCTGTTCTTCTGCTTTTTAAGCCTCTTCATCCACATGATTCTTTATAGACGTTCAAGTGATCTTCCCTGTGTTCTTTTAACACTGCATAAATACCATTTAGTAATTCGCTGTGTCCATTTCATGTCCCTCATTCCTACTGTAAGACCTGTCCCACTATTCTTTCTAATGTGCACTGCCTTGATATTGTCGATTGCTCCACATTACATGCCAAATACTTTGCTGGAAACTTGCCTCAGCTTACTTACACTTATCGTGCCTCATTGATGGCTAGTTGGGTTAGTGTTCTTTTTCCCCCCTCTCCCGAGCAGCTGTAGTGTTCCGCTCATGACATCTATGCAACAGATACTGGAACTGAAAAGTGTTGTTTTCGCAATCGATGCTTTGATAGTGTTGGAAAAGAAAGCTCACAACACTGAAGAGGCTTTTCATCCTAGTTTTTCATATTCGCTTAAATGTGTCCCTAACTGTCCAGTTGTGGTACTGCTTCTTTTAGATAGGTGTAGTCGTCAACGATCTCAACGGACCGATTTTCTAATCTCTTGCCGAGCTGGGAGCAGTATACTTTCTTCATTCACTTGGTTTTTCCTTCGTAGGTTTGAAGTCCAATTACCTTTGCATTGATCGCAGGCACATTTAACAGATTCTGCAGTGCCTGTGTTTCCCGGGATGAGCTTTTTATCAGCTGCAAAAATGAACAATTGGAGCATTTTTGCCATTGATACAAAATCCTGTGTTGTTCCAGTTTTGCGCAAAGCATTTTTTAAATACGGTTGTAAGGGCTTTTAAAGAACAAATGTCACGCTGCTTCACGCTTCTGGTGATTTTTTTGCTTGAGTCAGTGAGAGAGCTTTCGATAATCTGAGTGTACACCGAATTGATTCTCTCATCTGAGAGCTTGAAGTAGCTTGTTGTAAAAGACAGTATGTCCCTCAAAGATGAGAGCCAACTTGAAATCGGCGAAGAGCAACCGTGAAGGAATTTTGTATTCTCTACATCTTTTAGCCAAACTGAGCTTCCTGTGAGGATGTGATTGAGAGTGAAAAACGTTTTTTCTCCAGTTCTCACCGAACCACTTCTGTTCAGGTATATAGATAAAAATCTTATGTGTATGTGATAGCAAGTATATTTTGACGGTGGACGCTAAAATTTCCACGGTCATCTTCGTGTCACATTTGCGAATCTCTTCCATCATGTTGATACCTCTTCTAAGTTAAAGTGCCAGGTAAATCGTATGCTGTGCTTCTGGTGTTCCTTCACTTCTTGATCCTTTTTAATCCAGTTCTGTTGCTTTGCTAGGATTTGTTATGCCTGTTGCCGCAGAAAAGTTTTTAGTTTGCGTCTCTTTTATTTTCCGTGATACGCAGTTCTCGTGTTTAGCAACTTGCACGAAGAGGTCTAGGGCAGACTGCTTTGGTCTGTTGTAGTAGAGGACTTTTGTAGAGATCTGCTCTTCAGCGTGTGATTCAGTTTTGCTTGTAATTCTTTTGTGATGATGGGCAGGTTGTTCAGAAAAACTGATTTGGAAATGACGGACACATCTAACCAGCTTTCGTTTTCTTTGAGGTTATAGTCATTTTATTTTGGGGCCCTGTTTGGCACTTGCGAAGTCCGTCATTTTTCAGGGCGTTTTTTTGTTGAGGAACAGATCATTGTCTAGATTTTTGTGCACTTTGCAAAATCAGCGGATCTTTGGCTTTTGTCATATCTTGTTTCCAATTAAAGGAACCGATAGATTTTGATTATTCTTCATTTTCATTTTTATCAGCAAATTTTCCTGGGATCTAGTCATATATTTTTTCCCTTGTTGTAATGCTACATCGACTTTTTCTTAGAAATGTTTTGTCATCTTAAGTGCTACAGGCTTCACATTGCAATTTTTCTGCTAACGTGGCTAGAGCTTATTATGATAATGTTGTGAAGCTAAATGGGAACCCCACGATTTTATTTGTTAATTGCGATTTGACTGTGAGCCAGATACCTTGATTCTCTCTCGACTGTTTTTGTGCCACCTCCCATTTTGCCGCCAATTTTGCGATTGTCTACATTAATGAATGTTTTGGAGTTTTGATGCGAATGTTGAAACGAATGTTTTGGAGTTTCTTTAATGGAACATTCACTACTTGTTCATTGCTGAATGTTCTGGCGTTAACGGTATCCGTATTTGTAAGCACGCAAGGCTGAAGGCTATATCCATTTCTTCTCGATATTTCTCTGATCATTGCTGAATCATCTACCAGTCATCTGCTCATCATCTTAGAATTCGGTCGAATCCCATTCCTCTATCTTTTTCGGAAATAACCAAAAATTAGTTGTGATAATGTGCAGTATTTCTCTTTTGCAGGAGAAGAAATCCTGGACACTGATATTCCAACAGATTTTGAAGCACGATATTTTAAGCACACATTTGGAAAACTGATTTGGGTACTTCTCCAACCATTTTTCTACGCTTGCCGTCCGTTTTTAATTTATCCGAAGGTCAGTTACATTTAACTTCAGTATTTGATGATTTTGGTTAGCGTTTGATGAAGTTGTTTGTGAAAAATTAAAAAGTTTTCATTATTCCGTGAATGTTAGATGTTTAGATTTTTAGGCTGTAACGGATTTGGAGATCCTCAATGCAATATTTCAAATTACGGTTGATTGTGTCGTTATCAGTTTTTTTGGTTGGAAAGCAGTTGCATATCTTCTTGGCGGATTTTTTGTTGGCTCAGGTGCTCATCCTTTAGCGAGTCACTACATTTCTGATCACTATGTTTTCAAGCGTGGTCAAGAGACCTACAGGTAATCATTGCAGACTGTATAAGCATGTCACTGAACAGTGATTCTTTTTGACCTTTCTGAATTTTTTCGTGCAGAATGAATGATGGATCTTCTTGGATTATTTTGTTTCATATTTTGCATGTTGTTGAATACATTTGTGAAAATGAGGGTCTTTTTCTTTAACTTTTTGATTTTGAAAACCAGTATCAGCGTGATCAGTCGTTGATAACGCAGTGAAGATCAAGCAGCTGTGCACGCAAAAACAAAAAATATCCACCATGGAACCTATTATCTGAAGCAGCATTAATAGGGAGAAATAAAGCGGACCTCCATACTGTTCGCGCCATTCCGCCTGGCCTGTTGCGGCCTATCGGCAAACGGCGAAGAATCTCAGGTGTTGAGCAAATGCCGCCACGGTAAAGCCTGGACTTCTCTATGTGTACCAGAATTGTAATTCACTAATGGGCCATCTCCAGGAAGTCAGTGAGACAACGTGTGATGTCTTTGGTGTAAGTGTGAAACACGAAGAAGTATATGCATCGTATTCTGTAAAGTTAGAAAACTCGGCACTGAAGAAAAGAGAGGAATGTTGGCGGAATCGTCAACACAAATTGGTCTGCTCAAATCATCTCTTGTCACTTCCATTTGTTACTTATCAGCGTACTCTTCCTTAGGCTAAATTTCAGTAATCTTTCGGAATCATCACAATTCGCAATGATAAAAATGAGGTAAATGAGTTCTATCCTGAGCTAAAATCTATATCAGTCGTCTACATATACGGTCGTTATGAGGAACTTCGACACATATCGTGAACATGGAAGGAACAAAGGAGAGAATTACCTTGGCAAAATATAACACTGGCAACAGGAATGTTAGAGGTAACGAATAGTCTGTTTAATATCTGGCTCCGGAGAGAAGCGGGAGAGAGATGAACTTGAATTGCGCCAAATTTAAAAAAAAGACAAAATCGACCACATCTTGAAGGAAATCGACAGGATGCTGTCGTAGATAAAAAGAACCAACGCATGCTGCGGGCTAGAATGCATATCATCCCGGCCCACAAAAAACTGTGTTACGCACAGCAAATCAGCTTTACAGGCCCCGAAAAATCGCTGGAAAGGAAATGAAATGTAAGTCAGGAATATCGACTGGACTGTGACGGCAAATATTGGCGAGAACTACAGATGCCTTATCGATAAGCTTTTTGAGTGCGTAAAACTAGCCGAGTTCGCCCGAACTGGGCGGCTGGATTCGGAGATATCCTCAGATACGAAAATACTGTTGGAGAAGAGAAAGAACATGAAAAGAAATAAAATGGAATAATTTCTTCGTTGCAGACACATCAGACGGAAATTGAGAAAAGATCTTGAAAATTACAATCGTCGACGGAAAGCAGAAGCAGATCAAAGGATGCAAACTGTGAAGAAGTGTCGGAGAGAACTGCTGCTGTACCATCCCCTGATGGCAGCGATGAAGGAACGGAAGTGATGCCGAATAACAAATCGAACAGATATGGAGAACATTTATAGAATATTCTACACAATGCGGTCCGGAGTAAAATACAGCATACGGACCACATTTTCGCTCGAAACCAGCTGCTGACACATGCAAGGGAATACCAGGTGCTTGTTTGTCCTCTATTCGTCGATTAAAAAAAAGAATTGAGCTGAATGTTGTGCTACGACCCCTTGTGAACGAAGGATTGATAATTTATCAAGGAAGCGAAAAGAGGCCGTTCACCAGACAACGATTTTTTCCACTCCAATTCGCATACCCTTGAGAGAGAAGTAACACAGTGCGATCCTCTACCGCACAAACTTTCCACTGCCTGCCTCGAAATGTATTCCGAAGATCTGATTGCAAAGGTGATCTAGAGATCAGTGGCGAGCACCCGAATCAACTAATTTTCACAGTTAACATCGTTCTTATTGTGAGCAGGTATTTGAAAAACTGCAGGGTCATAAAGTGCGATATAAGAGCAGGTCTGAAAGTAAATGCATCGAAAATGGAAGCGAAGTACTGGTTTGTGCACGGCAAGACTTGGAAAAATTTAACAGCTACATTTTTTTTTTTTGGCCAGCAGACCAAGGTCTTAGCTCCTTCCAATTAATAACCCTGCCCCCTTTGCTCCTGTACGGTCCCCCTCCCCCTTCCTACTCCCCGAGGCTTAAACTAACACCCTCGTCCTCACCGCTGTTGTTCCTGGCTCTGCTTTTCTATTTCCATTCTCGTCATTACAGTCCGCCTCCCCTCCCGGCCTAGCCAAACTTTTTAGTTGCCTGTACAAGATACAGTCTTCAGCAAAAAATTACACGGTAAAGGACTGTTGGTTACCGCAAATTCCATATACATCTTTGATGCCCTTAAGGTGCCAAAGCTGAAATAACGTGTTCGTCTCTCCGGCTGCACTCTGTCGAAGGCAGGGACGCGCGGACGCGAAACGTTGCTGGTGAAATTTGACGAACAAATTGCTAGCTGCCACAGAGTGGGCGATGGAACGAAAAAAAAATAAAAAGAATGCTTTGTATGTCAGTAAATAGTCAAACTGTGTGTCTGAGCGGCGCGTAGAATATAATTACGGTCAAGAAAAGGTAAAATCCGATGGATAGAGCATTATTCTCGCCGACAGCTGGTGGACGTTACGCATTAGTAAACGACTCTTACGAGGAAAAAAAAATGACCACTCAGATAGCCCTCAAAGAAAGTGGCGCACATATATCGATCAGAAAATAAGTACTAACTAGAGTTATGCAGCCCATGGCGTTTGAGAGCATCCTAATGGTATTACTAAAATAAGATAAATATACTTGTCGGACGGTACTGATGTTCTTGCTGTCTTTGATTTTGAATCGTTTAGCTACTATGGACCAATTAACTTGGTGACATTTAACGTTGGCTATCATATCGAGCACCACGACTTCCCGTATATTTGTGGGAGCAACCTTCCAAAGGTTTGTTTTAATCAGTCTGCTGCAAAAATTGGAGTAGTGGTATCATTGCTTGGTTGATAGCACGGCAGTGGTCCGCCTTGTCTGATTCTTATCATCCTAATGGAGTTGGCGTACAATTTTGTCTAAAATGCGGCAGGGATAGCTTTCATGCCAATAAATTATATGAACAGGATTTTTTACCAGTTTTCATACTCTTATGAAGTTGTAGGTCAGAGCTATCGCTCCTGAATACTACAAAGATTTTATGGTACATACAAGTTGGGTTTACATGATGTTTGATTTTATTACCAATCCAAAGATGTCACTGCATTCTCGTATTAAACGAAAAACGGCAAAGCCAACAGATATTCGGTTTTTTGATGTCGGGCCGAATTCGTCATGCCTCGTCTACAAATTCATTGCATCTGTGAGTGCTTATTCATTTTACAACGAAAGATACATTCAGTGGTAATGTCCTGCTCATCCGTAAAAAAACCGTAATGTATGACCTGGTCTTTCAAGTGCGGACGAGAGGTAAATATGACAGCGTGTTCACATCTCAGCGTGCAATTTTTGATGGGTTCTGCACTGCCTTCATTTTTACCCAACTTTTATTTATTTGATCATTTCGAAATAGCATTTACTGTGAATATTTTTTGCAGCTTCTCAATCGAGCATTTCACGCCAAAGAAAAAGTCAAATGAATTTTTCGCTCTGGTGCTTCAGTTTTTTGGTGGTTCTACATGTACAGTTTCTATACCAATGCTGCTTTGTTTCCATAATTTACGTTTTTCCGACGTGCTTTCGGGTACTTCTGCTTGTTGCAAGAGCCACTGATGAGTATTGGTGCGAACTGTTGATGTTCTCAAATGTATCAGCTCGCGGACGCAAACATCTGTCATCGTTCTCAAAAAAAAAAAATCAATGATTTCATCTATTTGTTTAATAATATTCAAATGCAAGTTTTGCAGTTGTTGGCTTCTGTGTAGCTGTTTGATCAAAATGAGATAAGCATTTCCGCATGGCTGACTAAAGTCTCATTTTTGCTTTGCCACCTTTCTTCGTTTGACTGAACAAGCACATTACTGAGTTGAAACGGGCATGAAATTTTTGAGTTGCACAATAATTAATTTCACCTTAATTTGAACTGTTTTAATTGGCTCTTCGAATATTCATTTACATTACACCGAGAATTGCTGCTTGTTCCCTTTGTCTGTATGTATGTATGTGTGTATCTGTGAATTCAGCAGATTTCTTATTTCCAGTATCTCCAGATTCATTATACAGCATACGCTTACCATTTTTTCACTTCTTCCTATTAAAGTGTGTTTGTGTTATTAACAACTGTGATACGTATTGGTCACAGTGAGAAGCAAAAGTTAGATATCAGATGGAAATGTGGAGGAGTGTTACAAAATTTTACGGTGCAGTAGTAAGAAAAGACCAGCTGATTAGCGATGGAAGTGCTACCCTTTCTTTATATAAAGTTGTACAAAATCAAAATCCGAATTTATATTAAGTGATGCACAGGTAAATAAAGAGGCGCGCACAGAAATGTTGCAAAGGAGTCCATGCTGTCCATCCACATCTTGTCTAGTCCAGGTTGTTCTACCAGGCCTCCTGCTGAATCATCATTGGACATACTTTAATGATGATAATTAGTTTCAACAGACTCTTGGAAGATGTGCTTGCGTGAGCTAGGAGTTGGTTTAGGAGGGGTGTGTAATCTTTCGTGCTGTATTCGAAAATCAGCTTGCTTTCTTGGCTGATGTTCCACAGATAATTTTTTGAATTGATCAGAGACTAACTTCACGAAAAGCCCCTCAGGAAAGAGGCAGTCCGGGCAGTACGTTTTTATCTTCCCTACGATGATTGTTTAGCAAAAAGGTTTTCAACTCATTCAAATTACTGAATAAGATTCACTGTACCAGGGGCTTACTGAAGCCCCTAATTTGAGCACAACACGGAATCCCACAATCTTTTTCTTTTGTTGGCTGTTCTGAGGATGTAAACCTTTTTGGTCGATCTGACAGGTCTTAATGAAACCTGGTAGGCAAAAAAAGATGTGCTGAATTTGTAGCACCCAAAAAAAAAAAACGAACTGCGAAGCTCAGCTCTTGCTGGCAGTAAACCAGATTACGCTTACCTTCTTTTGTATTCTCGCATGTCATGCAAAACTGCTTCATACCTATGGGTTTCGTTAGTGCATCAAGTACTCTATGCGTATTGAATAGTGTTCTATAGATTTCGTCGAGATGACACTTTATGTGTTCCTCATATCGGCTTTTATATGTAGACTCATATCGAAAGTCAAGTCTCATCAGTAGTAGAATTATTGCACTTGAAATCCTTAGATACCTCTCACTCGCAGATGATGCTTGGCGGTCGTAAACTCAGTGTCGAAAAAGGTTGTCGTTTCTCTTATTCCGTATTCACACCTCGCGTTTCATGTGGTATGGAAGTCGGAATACTACCACTTCATATGTGTAGTCCTAATAATGCTGGTACCATACTTTCGCAGGGATAATCTTGTCATAGCACATTTTTGGTTGTTGCATAAATGCATAAAAAAGCAGCTGGATATGGAGAAGTACTTATCGTCTGATGTTAGCAGAAGCATGCCGTGAACGTCGAATAATTCTGCTTTTTGAAAATCTGAAAATGAAATAGTTTTCCTTTTTTTTTTTTGAAAAATTACAAAAAAACAAGAACAGTTTTTCTTGCAATCGGCTCAGCTCAGACGGGTTGAGTGGGGGAGTTGCGATGACTGTGATGTGCCTTTTCTGGGACAGTGGGATATGGGTAGACGTAGTTGGAAGAAGTAAGACCCGGAGTGCGAGTGGGGTATTGACCGGAAAGAAGCTTAAACTTTGGAGATAGAAGTTGAAGGTTACGGCCAGAGAGGCGTGGGTGAAAAAAGGGGGCGTTGTATGGATTTTTGATGCCCAGCAAGAAACTAGACGCCGAGAGAAGCTTAATAAGCTTGTGTCGGCATTCCGAAATTTCGCCGGAGCAAGAAATCTGGCGCTTGTGCACTACAGTCCTCATCCAAATTCCCGAAGGAGTGCGTTTTGTGCGACCGAGTCGAACTGAGCTTTAATCACTGGCGGTGCGCGCGGGCCGGTGCGACCATGCGTTTTTGTATTTTTTGCTGAAGTAAAATAGCTTGGAGTCCTGCGTTTTTGTATTTTGTGGTATACTGTCTTCGAAGTTCAAGAGGTTAATTATGCAACTGCTTGGTACTTGGCCAAGGAACATTCCTCAAAGTATAGCTTTCTAGCTTTTGTGGTTCCGATTTAGCAATTTTCTCGCCAAAATTTTTTCGAGGCCGTACGTGAGGACTTTTTGAAATGTTTACGTTATATGTGAAGTGGGGGCATTTCCTTATAATTTTAGCCTCCCACCTTTTCTGGTTCAAGAGAGCGATTTTCCCGCCAAAAACTTCCACGAGGGCGTGCGTGAGTACTACGCTCCTGGAGCCTCAACTTGAAGTTGTTAAGAAGCACTGAGGCTGAGAACAGCCCTCTCAAAATTTCAGTCTTTCAGCTTTCCTGATTCCTGAGTTAACAAACATTCCCGCCAAGAATTTTCATGGGGCCGTACGTAAGGAGCACGAGTAACTAGGGGCTGAATTTGAAGTTTTTAAGTTGCACGTGGGCTGGGAAAATCTGAAAATTTCAGCCTCCTAGCTTTTCTGGTTCCCGAGTTAGCGATTTTCTCGCCAAAACTTTCACGTGATCGTGTGCGGGGCGCACACCTGCGTGAAGGTTATTACCGCATTCCTGAGATGGCACTTGGCCGGGAAACCTGCTGCCAAAATTCTGGCGCCGGAGCTTACTTGGTTGCCGAGTTGAATTACTCGGACTGACATATAAGCACACATCGGGGCTGGTCACAACATGCGTTTTTGCTCGCTTAGCAGTGCCATAACGCGGCACAGCAAAAATGTATAACAATTACCGCTACTTTTGCGGAAAGCAAGGATATATGTGCGCAGTCTTCCTGAGTTCCTGAAGTCCAAAACACTGAATTCTTTACATTTCGCATGTTTTTTTCTTTTTTTGATGGTTTAAAGTCAGTTTGATCTGTCAACGAAAAAAATATAAATAAGCGACGCGCACCAGAACAGCCAGCGCGGCCATGCACTTTGCGCAGTTCTGTCTAGTGGATGTTTGCTGTAAGAATATTCACTGCTTTACAGTTTAATGTGCGCAAAAATCGCCTAATTGCTGTATATTTTGTCTAGTTCCTGAACTAAAAATGTCGATACTCTTACTTTAAAAATAAGCGTACATGAAAGCTAAATGAAAGTTGAACTCTAAAATTTAGCTTCCGAGCTTTTCTGGTTTTCGATTTAATAATTTGCACACGTCAAATATCAAGTGGTACATAAGACCTAGACGTACGGGGGAGCTGAATTTACATTTGTAGGGTCGTGCTTCGCCGTAGAACATCATCCTAAAAAAAAACTGTAGCTTTTTGGGTTCCGAACTTAGTGATTTTCGCATAAATGTAAGTGGCCTCACGTATCTGTAAATGTGGCTATTGGAGCTGAATTTAAGTTTTTGAGATCGTGCGTGGGCATGAAATACCTTCAGAAGATTATGGCTTCCTAACTTTTCGGGTTTCTGAGTTTGTGATTTTTGCGAATCTCAGATGTACGTATATGAGAACTAGGCGTACATGGAACCTGAGTTTACATATTCTTGGATGAATGATGGTTCTTATATATACAAGACAAATACTCGAGACCAACTGATGAAGTGCCCGAAAAACAGCTATTTTTCGGGCACTTCTTCAGATAAAAATTGGCAGTTTTTTTTTATATAAATTAGAATTGACAGTTTTTTTGATAAACCGAAGAAATCTGATTTTCGCAGATATGGTCGAATTTTTACAGCTTCCAAAAGCAGCGTGAAAAATACAACAGTTTATTATAATTGCAAAGTATTTTTTGTCAGGCTGCTGAACCGAATCATGCTAAGGTCAAATAACAAGCAACAAAGCAAGCAGAGTTTCTCGAAGTGCCTTGAACAGATGTTTTGGATTAACAAAATATCTGTGAGCAAAATAATACTTTTATTAGAGAAGAGAATTTTGATGGCTTTGTAGATAGTTCCAAGCACAACTGTGGGCCAATTAGCGTGATTGCACAAAAAAAAAATACTGGTCCGGATGGGCTTAGTCCCATCCGGACCATTTTCTAATTGCTATCATTTGGCAAAGCAGGACCAGATATAAAAGCATCATTTGACCGTTCCGATAATGCAAAAACATTAAAGCTTAAGCGACTCATCGAGTCTAAAATCATTTCGTTTGGCTGCCATCAACTGCCACTAGCCCTGGGATTTGTGGAATCGCTAATTGTTGAGAAATGGTGAGCTTTATTTCGGTCAGCTGACACTAAGAATCATTTATGAAAAAGAGAATACAAATGCAAAACAAATCCCAAGTTTTCCGTAATCTACTCCACGTCGTAAGCAGAATGCTAAAATTTTGGATTTTTTTTTTTTTGGTTTGCTTGCTTGAGAGCGTTTAACAATTTTGAAATGCTGTTGATTAATGCTAATATCTCTTAATAGTTCAGCCTCGTATCGCGTTCCGTGAAAACCTTTGTTTTTATACAAAAGTTAGTTTGACCACAACCTATTTTCATACTGGAAAGAAAATCGCACGCATTTCACTTTAAAATTTTTGAATGTTAGCACGAAGAATTTTTAATTAAAATGTGCAATTCCTGCACTTTACCTTTTATATGTCAGTTTATGAAAACCAGTCAGTTTATAAGCAGTGCTTAAACTTTTTTTTTAAATCACTCGCTGCAACAGTAGTGTGCGCAAAGACTGAGATCGTAAGGAACGGTGAAAGTTGCTTTGTTTTCGCTTCCTCAAAACAACAGGCTTGCTGGTTTGTAAAGTAAGAAATGCCAAAAATTAGGCACATATTCGCCTGTCTGGGCGAAAGAAAGTAAGAGGTAGCAAAACAAATGAGACACGGTACTCTAAAAAAGCAACATTTAAACATGCTAGCTGAGCGAAATAGTTAAAACATGCTAGTTGAGCAGGAAAACGGGACTGCAAAATTTAGCGATAGAACTTTGCGAAAAAAATTATTTTAAGCAGCTGTAAAGTAAGCTAGTTACTGATCATAAGACGCAAAAATTGTCATGTGCAACGTAACTTTGTTATGCGTTTTTTGCAGCTATGCAGTGCAGAAAACGCATATTCACGAACGGTTGCCTGTGTGTGTGTCTGTGTGTCCGTGTGTGCGCCTGTCACGGTTTTTCACCTCAAGACCTACAAAAGCTACAGGATTGAAACTTTGGGAACTTAATCTACATGCACGTACGGGCCCAAATCCCCAAAGTGGGCGCCATTACCCGTGTGTTACCCACGTAAGAGCCCATTAGCGTTTTTCACAGGTAAGCTGCTAACTCGGGAACCAGAAGTGCTTGGGGGCTGAAATTTTAAAGGAACGTTCCCCGTCCAAGTAGGTATTAATGAGCTCAAACTCAGCCCCCGGGTAGGCGTGGTACCAGCATACGGGCCTGCCAAAGTTTTTTTCGGGAAAGTTCATAACTCGGGTATCTGGGATGCTAGGAAGCTGAAATCTTAGAGGAATTTCCCCTGTTCAAGTAAGTATTGATGAGCTCAAATCCAGCCCCCGGGTATGCGTGGTACCCAAGTGTGGGCCCGATAAAGTTTTCTTCTAGTAAGTTGCTAACTCAGGAGCTAGGAAAGCTAGAAGTCGAAATGTTAAGGGAGCGTTTCCTAACAGTTCTGACGGCCAGTCTTAATTTGTTTAGCTAGAAGCATTTGGCGAAAAACGGGTGCCGGTAGTGACAAAAGCAGCGGGGAACTATGCAAAAAACGCATCTTCGCACGGACAGCCGGTGCGTTGGCCAATTATTACTTATTGGCGTGCATTTTGCTTGTACTGAGAAGAAATTCAAAGTTCTGAGTTGTTCGGAGATAAAATTGGTGCAGCACTGCTGCAGAACTAAGTCTTCTCTTCTAAAAATATTTTCGGCTAGTCCATTCTTCCTCGCAGGATTGGCGTTTGCCAATATTATAATGATGGAATTTAAAACGATTTTTATGCGTTTTGTGCTGTGTAACAGCAGCACAAAACACATATTGTCACCGGGTTGTCTGTGAGTGTGTGTTTGTGTGGTTGTCCGCAGCAACTTGTCCGCAACTTTCAACTCGACAACCACAAAAGCTAGGGGGCTGAAAATTTAGGGAAACGTTCCTTACCCACGTGCGACTCCGCAAATTTAAATTCAGCTTCCCTGTACCCGCAGATAACACGTACGGCCCGTAAAAGTGTGGGCGAGTAAAATTATTATCACGAGAACCACGGAAGCTAGAAGGCTGAAATTTTGTGGGCATGTCCTCCGCCGATGCGCTACCTAGAAAATCTAAATTCAGCTTTCCCTTGCCCGCGGGTAGCATGTACGGCCCCGTGAAAATTTTTGATGGGTAAATTATTATTTCGGGAACCATGGAGTCTAGGAAACTGAAATTTTAGGGTATTGACCCTCTGTCCCCGCTAGACCTTGCTATTCAAATTCAGCATTCCCACACTCTCGAGTATCAACTACGACTTCGTGAAAATTTTTGCGGATATATTATCTCAGGAACTACGGAAGCTAGGAGGCTAAAATTTTATGGCAATGACCTCCTACTCACGCTCGATCTTGCCTATTCAAATTCAATGTCCTCGCGCTCTCGGGTATCACCTACGGCCCCGTTAAAATTTTTGTCGGGTAAATAATTATCCCGGATCCGCGTGATCTATGAAGCTGAAATTTTAAGGTAATGATCCCCTGCCACGCTCAACCGTGGCTATTCAAATTTAGCGTTCCCGCGCTCTCGGGTGTCACCTACGGCCTCGTGAAGATTTTTGCGGGGAAATTATTATCTCGGGAACCACAAAAGCCAGGATGCTGAAATTTTATGGTAATGTCTTCTGTCCATACATAAACCTGCAATTTTAAATTCAGCTCCCCGCGCGTCCGAGTATCACTTACGGCCTCGTGGAAGTTTCGGCAGGAAAAATTATTATCTCGGGGACCGCGGAAGTTGAGAATCTGAAATTTTAAGATGATCTCCCCTACAAACGTACGACTTAGCAAATTTGGACTCAGCCTTTGCACACCCCTGGGTGTCGCGTACAGCCCCGTGAAAGTTTTGACAGTTTTGAGCAGTGAAAATCATTAGCAGGCAATCGTTCGGTAAATGGAATTGCACAAAACGCATGATCGCACCGCTATCCTGGTGCGCGCCCCTATTTATTTATACGGTCGCTGGTGTTTTTGTGCGTTTCTGCGGACGACTTGCTTATTTCTCCAACGGCTGAAGAAAGCAAAAGTTCTAAGTTGTGTTTTTCAACCATAAGTAAATCATAAGCTTTTTGCTTTCCCTTTTTGACTACTGTCCCAAGCACCATGTGCATTAAACAGGGTAATAAATTCTAAAATGCATGAAGTAGAATTTTTGCCCTTTTTTAAATGCACAACATAATCTAGATGAGACCAAAATGATTGCTTCTTTATTTTATATCAGACCTGAGCCATTTGCCAGGGAAATTGTTGCAAAATCAACTTCTAACACATCATGCGGAAAAATGACTGCTGTTTCCAATTCTTATCTACAATTAAGGTCTTACTTCCTTACCAGTTAATAACCCAACCTTCCTCGTCGCCACAACCTCCAGGGCATAAACCGTACCACCTTCTCCCCCGCCTCCAGCCCTCTGACCTCCACCCTCCAGTCATCGTCACTTTATACAGAACCTACTCAAGTCGAGTTTCAATCCAGACTGATAAAGGCTAGAGGGAGCTAGGAATCTTGCAGTACTGAGAACACAGCTCTCTGTCTGTTAATTAGTATCGAAGAAACAGTGAGTAGCCATCAAGCTACAGATTTGCACTACAAGAAATTCGCAACCTTAGTTGCAGCATTTTTCTTAAAAATGAATGTGTCTATGAAGGGATCGTTTGTGGCGTGTTCGAAGCAACTGCTGAAAAATTCGGCAAGGCTGACTTCTTTAAGTGTGCAACCGCAAACAGCAAACAATATCATCTTGCTGCAGCTTAATTTTTTCGTGTTCTGGTCTGCTTATTGTTTGTACTAGAAAAAAATTCATTCACAGTTATGACGGGTTAGTGAAATGGTTAAGGTAGCACTGTAGCAAAAACTAACTTGCGCGACTGCCATTGGAAATTGCAGTTTCAGACTTGGAAATTCAATAAACTGTGGAACGCTCTGGACTAGAAATGAGACCCAGGCTGGAACGCACCAGGCAAGCCGGTGCGATCATGCGTTTTTGCATCAAACTTTGAGGTA